AGCTTGTTCATCCCAGGCTAAGGTGGCAGAGAACTCCAGCTCCAGCTCTAGCTGGTAGTGAAGAAGCATTCATTCTTCCAATCAATAACAACAAGCAAGCTTAAACAAGAGCTCTAGGACATGTTGTGCCAGGTTAATTGGCACCACACTGTTCAGAGGTTCAACAGTTGCTGGAAATCATTCCTTTAGGTTATTTCTTTCATTAGCAAATTCCTGGTTATATTATTCAGGTAATCTTGTTAATCTGGGCTGGTTTCAGCATGTAAATGACTGTGACGAGATTAGTATAGCCTCCACTGCACACTAAAAAAATATTAATGGGAATGGGCTAGTGGCATCCCTAACAATCAGTTACTCAACTTTGTGCCCCCAAAGTAAGTATAAAGTAAGTATAAAGATACAAATCTTTGCTAGGCACATCTTTTCCCCACAGGATCAGCTTACTCCCAAAGTAAAGCAAACTGCATTTCTTTGACAAGCATATTTTCAGTACTTTATCTCATAATTCTCCATGAGGCTCCATGCCTCACTGGCTGCTCATTGATGAATTCTGATTCTGAATAATGAATTAGCAACTCCTTCTGTTTACGGTGTTCATCACTGGAATCTGCAGGTATGGACAGATCCACAAAACTAACAGCTTTCAGTCATGTATCCAATCTTTTTAATTTATTACTTGGAAAGAAAAGCTTTGTTTCCCAGGTAGCTTATGTAAAGCACATACCCCCATAAATACAAATTTACAGTCCAAAGATATGAGAACAAGAACAGTCAGAACTCATTTATCTCAATTTCTATTTTTAAGAAATAATTTAAGAAGTCACAAGAGGAAACAGAAATCCAGGAAAAATATTTCATACAAATAAAACTGTTGAGACCATCATTACCTCATAGGACCTGGAGAGCAAAAAGACAATACAGATAAAGCAATATGTATGGAAAGAGAGGCAGAGAAAGAGAAAGCTATTAGCAAATGGGACTTGGATTAGAACCAAGTCCCACTCCAGCACCTATCCATTCATCCACTCCCAAAGCTCTTCTCTAACAGCTCTCACCAATAGATCTCAAGAGCTTTTAATGACTAACATTAAGAAAAACTGAGGTTTATGCCCTACAGAGGAAGCTGTATTGTCCCCAGTTTATTTAAGAGGGAAACTGAGGTATGAAGCAACCTCACCTCTTCTCTCACCTAAGCAGATGACAGGGACTGGGGATAGAGTTGTTCATTTCCTCACCAGAAAAGCAATCAGGATATTTTGCTAGAATAGTATATTAACATTCTTTGATAATTCTTGTTCTCAGGCTCTGCATTTCTATGAAGACAAAACATTTTAAGATAACATTAAAAAGCTGACTGCTTTTGAAAACTCCATGTTCCTTACCTGCATTTTCCTGCCATAACTGTTTCTATGGAAACTGGGACTGGCCAGGAAGCAGCCCTACAACATGAATTCTCACTTGTCAGTTTTGCATTAAAGTGCAACCTTCAAAATCCTTTAATAAACCAGTAATAATTGTGTTGACACTGAATGTTCACACAATATTTTGTAGTTGTGGTACAAGTGTTAAGAATTTTAGGTTAAGAATCTTAGGTTAAGAATTTTAACAGTGTTCATGATATGACTCTCTTGGTTAAGGATATGATCTTTAAACAGAGAGACAGTTTATTAGCAGTAAAAGCCCTAGTGTGTTTAGTTAGACTTACATAAAGGTGACTTATACCAATATGGGTATGTCTAGACTGCTGTCACAGAAGCATACTGTAGAGATACTGACTAAATGGGTAAATTGACCTACAGAGAGCTCTGTGCTCCAACAGCTAGCTGAGGTACTTCTCTGCAGGCATATGCCTACAGTATTCCCTGTAGGTACAAGAGAGGGAAAGCACTCAACCAGAGTAAGTGTTAGTCTGTGTTGTGTGGCTACTGTGGAAAAAATTAAGCACACAAGCTTAAGGCACAACTCTTCCCTCCAATCTGTAGAAACTGTGTAGCTTAAATCTAGGCTCCTCCATTGATTTTAACTTTTCACTCCTGTAAAAACTGTAGACTCCCTTATGCTCACTCATATTTCCCTGAGTTAAGTGAGAAAAATCCCTTTTTCTTGTTATTGGGAAGCAGCCTTCAACAGAATACACCCTCAACCACAAGAGTCCAGCATCGTCACTGAGGACCAGCTTAAAAACTTCCAAGAACAGTTTCTCTCCAGAGTTACTTATCTGTCTTTCCTGAGATTAATTCTTCCCACTTAATCTTCAATGCTTCCCAGTTGATCGGTGCTTTCAAATGGCAACAGAGGCAGAACAGAATGGGAAGATACTTGTGTCTGGATCAACCTCCAATGTACAGGGGGTTTTAAGCAGACTTCACACAGAAATGCATCTAAAACACAGAAGTGCAGCATCCAAGTTGGAGGCAATAGAACTCATTAGATGCTATGTGTATGACTATTCAAGCTACAAAGGACAAAAATGTAATTTTGCTTTGGTATGAATTTAAAGAGACCTTAAAGAGCAATTCAGTCTCCAGACTATCTTTTCCTCCAAGATTCAGCTGTGCAGTGCTCCTCCCAAAACTCATCCAGCCCACACACTTGGCTGACACCCTCAGGAGAGCCAAAGTCTCTTTTCTAACCTGAGAGGAGATCACCTTTCCCACTAAGCTAGCAGTGTTATTTTAACCCTTTCCCAGCAAAATCAGATTCTGATAATACAGGACTTTTCAAGAAAATGTCAAAGTTGGTCTCTTAAATTAGTTGCCATACTCTTTCATACGGTCCAAGATACCACATACTTCCTTTAACATATCATCAAGTTCATGCCAAGTATGCGACGTATCCATAATCTAGCAGTAACATATAGTTAACTCCTGAAGCGACTCTGAATTTAGGAATTGATATTCCAAACAACTTCTCTCATAGTCAGCCTTAGTTTTTTAAGCATCACTTCAAACTTATCACTAATCAGAGCAGGAATCTGAGAAGCTAATCTTCCCTGTAGCCAACCAGACTTTTTTGTAGGCATAAATTAAAGTTACTTCTTCACTCAGAATCTGGACTTCTTTCCTTGTGCTTCAGAGATATTGATGGTGGGGGGAAGGCTTGTACAACTCTTTCTTAATCCTCTTTTATTTCCTTCTGCATAGGTACATCCTTTCAGCACATGTTCAGGCCCATATTCAATTCTGACTAGAATGTATTCAACTCAAAACAGAGGAAAAATGCTAGGAGTAGGGCAGCCTGCAGCAAAACCAACTATGGGGCCCTTCAGCAAGTAGGACATTAACAGCAAAAGAATGATTCCTACACAGTTTTCCACTATGGACAAATGCACCACCTCTTTAAGGCAAGAGTTTTCCACAGGCCCCTGAATGCAAATGTCAAATATTCTGTCATGCTTTTCTCTTAGTCTGTATCTCACAGCAGCAAGAGCTTGGAATGAGGCATATAATATAACAACAAACCAGAGACCTGGCACACATGAGTCTACTCACTGGCTTTCCTCATGCATATGGCTTATTTTTCCCTGCTATGTCAATCCTTATAGGGCTTTACCACTACATCTGCCTCCTGGGAGTCTGCTATTTCAAGTGTTAGAGGGAAGGTGCAGAAGAAAAAATACATTCAGTCCTTTCTTCTTTTTTCAAGTTGAAGGTCTCATCCACACCATTAATTAAACAGATTAATTAAACAGGAAAGCCCCTGCAGCAGAAAGCCCTCTCTAAGGATAAATACTGAACAGCTTCAGGCTTTGAACTGTGGCACATAACAGCATTCTGATTATTCCAGATCAAATGTCTTGCATGGTAACCTTCTTTAGGCAAAAATTATTTCATCAATGTCTTCTGTTCCTCTGCAAGCAAAGATATGGATGGTACTTCTCCCCAGATGTGGGACAGAATATAAGACAAAAGGCAGGAAACAAGCGAGTATGGATATTACAGTGGGCCTTGCTGACTTTTGTATTTTCTTTTCCAAAGCATCTGATTTATGGTTAACATCTGTGATAAACAGCAAAATGGTGGGTGTTTCTGAGAGTTCTGATCTGAACAGAATCCACAACGACAGGAACCAGTAGTGCACACAGTAGCCAGGAGAACCCAGGCACGCTTGACAAGCAGCAAGACTGCAGGATGGGAAAGGCAGGCAGGCACCCACCTCTGAATGTAATTTTTCAGAGAAAGGTGAGGACACTTTAGTGGTGGCAAACCTGTGCACATTCAGAAATACATCTTTACAGACATGCATACATCAGCACTGCCAGGAAGGACAGGCAAATATTCTGATTGTTTGTTTGCATGTCCTTTCCTAGCTATTTTAAAGTATACATAAAAAGAAAGATCCACAGTTATTATCATATTGAAAGATCACAAGATCAGTTTTCAAGCCAGAAAAATGAGTCCTGATAAGACTACTGCTGTAAACGGTGCTCTTTGGCAGTAAATTTTCTTTGGGGCTCAACAGATGTAAATGTGAGGACAGCCATGTCACATCTTACTGCAGGGAAAGAATCCAGCTTCTCTTCCAGTGCCTCT